ACGTTAAGTGAGGAGTTACTGTATATGCTACAGCCTTCAAAAAAAACTCCTAGTCATCATTTGGGCTCCCAAAAACTAACTTTTTAAAAATATGGTTAGAAATACAGTAAGTATTTCTCATTTTATAAAATGTAAAGATACTTATCTATGGCAGTGCACTCATTTCCACACTAAGCAAGTCTAAGGTAACTATGTGAATATGAAAACTTGTCCACAATTCACCTTTGCATGATTACCAGTATACAGCCTCACCGTAAAAGGAAAACATGACTGGCCTCACACATTTAATTCTATATGTGAAAAAGTTATAGATTTTTCAAGTGAATTTATCTTTTTTTGTTGCTTTTACTCACTCCAAATTTAGCACAAACCTAAACAGAACAGTGATATCAAAGTCTTAATTTTAGCAGCCTCCAAAGCTTCTAACTCATGTTTCCTCCCACAATATCCCTCCACCAACACCTCTTTTTCCAATAGGAATAAACTGGAATAAAGGATGGAAACTATGTGTTGCGTTGTGTAATATATATTCTATACAAACACACAAATGCAACTCAGTTAGAATTGCAGTTGGCTCCGCAGTTCAATTTATATATTTTGGGTATCAAAAAGTTTCTTAGGGAGAGAAAAAAAATCAACAAAACAAAAAAAACTTATTTACTTCTGCCCACCAGCCATCCTCAAAGGCTCAATAAGTAAGATCTTTCCTCCAGCCAAAAATTGTAGCTCTCCCCAGACCTAGTGAACACTAACAGCTGGAAAGATGGAGTTTCCCAGGCATGATGAACTTCTTCTCCAATCTTTCTAAGGAGATGATAACTCATGCCAAAAAGGGAGGGTAGCAACACACCACCATGTTGAATAGGTGAACAATCTGCCCCTGAACTGCTTAGCTAACGTACCCCCCCGCCCTTCTTTTTTTTTTTTTTTTTTTTTTAAATATCAGAGTCATTGTAGTCTGGGAGAAGTCATATTTACATATATTAGATTAATGATGCTTATCTAAAGGTCCTTAACTGTACAAAAAAGTCTGGTTATCCACATCCACGCTTTCAAAAGGTGAGTAAAACTTACAGGCAACTTGAGCTTCAATTGGTTTGAACAACTGCCGAGTATCTCCGCTTTTAAGTGACAAATTGATGCTGTACCCTTCTGTTAACATTGATCAAAATGTGCATTTTTGGGGGCCAATGTAAGTCTTAAAATCACATTAATTGCAGTTTTTGGTAAATGACGTAATCACCAATACCTTTATCCAGCTGAATTCCAGCAATAGGTGATAGAGTACAGTAGACACTTGTCTGCAGCAACACCCTGTAAGAGCAATCATTACTTAAGAGCAACATTTCTCCTGGGAACACTTTCCCTACCAAGAATTGTCGCCTCAGTAACAACAACAACATAACTGCCGCATATGACCAAGATTTGTGACATCACACCAGGGGCAGAGTTTGGGGGACAGGGGGCATATAGGGTCATGGCCTCCCCGAACTGCATCATCCCACTCCCCTCCCGACCCTGGCCTTCAGCGCAGCTTCAGGGCACACAGCGCAGTCCACTTGCCCTGCCTGACAGAGCCTGTGTGGAGAGCATGTGTAGGGGTGAGTTTGGGGAGAGGGTCTGGAAGAGGGATTTTTCGGGGGAGGGGAGAGATGGGGTGGAGGAAGCAGCAGAGGCACAACTAGAATGTTTCTTCCTCCCTTCCTCAGCATCTGGCTTGCAGATGGCAGGGGGCGGCTGGGGGAGTTGCTATTTTAGAGTGGGGAGTATCTCGGCTGCTGGCGGCAGGATGTGGGTGTGCTGTTTTGCAGTAGGAGGTCGGGCGACCCCCTTCCCCAGGCCACTGACCTGTCCCCTTCTCCACTCTGTCTCCGCTGTCCATTCTAGGAGCCATCACTCCCCTCCATTGCAGGCTGTGCACAGTGCCCTCCCCTGCCAGCCCTCACCAGGGTGGAGCATGAAACTGTCAGTGGGAGCATCCTCAGCCTGTACCCTACAGCCAAGCTCACTCAGTCATTTTGCTCACTGGGGAATCCCCTGACTCATTCACCTCAACCTGGCTAACCCATCCCTTCCAACACCCTTAACTCTTCATATACCACAGCCCACGCCACACCTTCCACCATCTCATGAGCCATCATTAGCATGCGCCATCTTGAACCAAACTAGTCTCAGTGTCAACCCGCTCACGCTCTGCCCCCGGTCCAGGGCTTGGATTCTCTGGGACTGAACCCCTGCTCTGACTGGGATAACAGGTTCTGTCTCCTTTCTCCGCCCCCCCCAAATCTCTCCCCAGCTGGAGTGAGCATTCTCCCGCCTGCTGCAGGAGAACCGGGCCCTGCGGGCTGAGCTCGCGCTGTGGCAGTCCCAGGGCTGAGTGGAATGTGACACTCCTGCTACCAGTGATGGGCAACACCGAGGGAGCTCAGCCACACCCCCACCAGCACACCTACGGGGCAGAGGTCAGGGGGACCTTACTTATGGTAACAGGGGGAGGAGGAGGAGATTTGAAGCTTTGGCTCGATTTGAGGGGTGCGGTGAAGGCTTTTGCAGCTGGCTCAATAAGGGAAAAGGTGCTGAGCATCAATGGGGTGCACTGCCTTTGATGTACTGTACTGTACTGTTTTACGTATCAGAAAAAGCAGGCTGGTCAGACAACACTCCCCATAACAGGAACAGCCACTTAGGAGGAACATAGCAAGAGGACTCCGATATGTCGCTACTAATGAGCATCTACTGTAGTAAAATCAATTCATACAATATGCAAACATTTATGTGGATTCATAGAATCATAGAATATCAGGGTTGGAAGGGACCTCAGGAGGTCATCTAGTCCAACCCCCTGCTCAAAGCAGGACCAATTCCCAACTAAATCATCCCAGCCAAGGCTTTGTCAAGCCTGACCTTAAAAACCTCTAAGGAAGGAGATTCCGCCACCTCCCTAGGTAACCCATTCCAGTGCTTCACCACCCTCCTAGTGAAAAAGTTTGTCCTAATATCCAACCTAAACCTCCCCCACTGCAACTTGAGACCATTACTCCTTGTTCTGTCATCTAGTACCACTGAGAACAGTCTAGATCCATCCTCTTTGGAGCCCCCTTTCAGGTAGTTGAAAGCAGCTATCAAATCCCCCCTCATTCTTCTGTTCTGCAGACTAAATAATCTCAGTTCCCTCAGCCTCACCTCATAAGTCATGTGTTCTAGCTCCCTAATCATTTTCGTTGCCCTCCGCTGGACTCTTTCCAATTTTTCCACATCCTTCTTATAGTGTGGGGCCCAAAACTGAACACAGTACTCCAGATGAGACCTCACCAATGTCGAATAGAGGGGAATGATCACGTCCCTCGATCTGCTGGCAATGCCCCTACTTATACAGCCCAAAATGCCGTTAGCCTTCTTGGCAACAAGGGCACACTGTCGACTCATATCCAGTTTCTCGTCCACTGTAACCCCTAGGTCCTTTTCTGCAGAACTGCTGCCTAGCCATTCGGTCCCTAGTCTGTAGCAATGCATGGGATTCTTCCGTCCTAAGTGCAGGACTCTGCACTTTTCCTTGTTGAACCTCATCAGATTTCTTTTGCCCAATCCTCTAATTTGTCTAGGTCCCTCTGTATCCTATCCTTACCCTCCAGCGTATCTACCACTCCTCCCAGTTTAGTGTCATCTGCAAACTTGCTGAGGGTGCAGTCCACGCCATCCTCCAGACCATTAATGAAGATATTGAACAAAACCGGCCCCAGGACTGACCCTTGGGGCACTCTGCTTGATACCAGCTGCCAACTAGACATGGAGCCGTTGATCACTACCCGTTGAGCCCGACGATCTAGCCAGCTTTCTATCCATCTTATAGTCCATTCATCCAGCCCATACTTCTTTAACTTGCCGGCAAGAATACTGTGGGAGACCGTATCAAAAGCTTTGCTAAAGTCAAGGAATAATACATCCACTGCTTTCCCTTCATCCACAGACCCAGTTATCTCATCATAGAAAGCAATTAGGTTAGTCAGGCATGACTTGCCCTTGGTGAATCCATGCTGACTGTTCCTGATCACCTCTCCTCTAAGTGTTTCAGAATTGATTCCTTGAGGACCTGCTTATCAGCTTTATTTATTTTTTATTTATTTTTTATCAACAATATCTAGTAGGAGTACAATGCCTCAGTTCGAAGATACTAAGTAACAAGAGTCTCATGGGATTCTAAAAAGCTGAGGAACTCTGTGTAATTTAAATGAGATAAAGACAGTAACTGTAGTAGAGATGGAAAAAACTGTTTAATCCAACACACTGAAAGGTTAAACATAAAAATAGAGTTTAAGTCACTTTGAAAATATACCTGTCAAGAAAACGTTCAAAGAGCCTCCACTAAGAATGTCATCCAGTCAACATTTAAAGTTCTCCAGGCAGAAATCCCTTTGATGTTAATTAAATAAACAAAAAAAATCTAACAAACAATGAAGTCCATTAAAGTGAGAAACCAAGCAGCATAGCCTAGCACAAGACATACTGCAAGCTCATGTTGAGCAAGTTTTCCAGCATAGTTCTGCCAAAGCACCACTTCTGTCTGAAAATGCAACCAGTCAGAAGTTGGGTAGAAGTTTTGCAGATTCAGTAAAGCTATGAATGAACACATTCCACGTATGTGTCCACCCAAATTTGGAGCAAAGAACTGCCAGGGCAAACCACTTGGACACTTAGTACCCTTCCAAGGTTTACTGTCATTTGGAAGGAGATCAGGCATCTACTCTCAATTTTGGAATTAAATGACCGTGTGTTTTAAATGCTAAAAAATCACTTCTAGAACTAAATTACATTTTCAGATTTAATTCAGTGCCACAAGTTAATTGCAATTCAGCTGTACTTTATTTCTTGTACTTTCACTATCCTTGCCAAAAAAAAAAAAAACACACACCACAAGAAAAACAACCTCACTTAAGAAATTACTAGTTATAACCCTCGCATTTCTCTAACAATCTGAAAATCAAATGTATTTCTCTTCTTACCTCCAGCAGAAAGGGTAATTGTGCTTGAAAGTACTAGTGTGAACCAGTCTACCTTGTTCTTTCAGAGATTTGATGATGTTCTTATCTGCATCCTAAAGAGAAAAAAAGTTTTCTGAACAGAACTTTTAACTATTATAGGGAATATTCATTCAAGGTTGGGTCCTCAATTAAAAAAAAATATATTTTTTTTTAAAATCAGTATTTACATGTTATGATGTGAAACAATGTTATGGTTGCAGAATTTGTATATTTTCAATGATGTGCATCTACTGTGGAGGTGCCATAGCAACTACTCTAATATTCTTAAAAGAGAACATGCTCCCCAAACTGGGATGCATACCTGCAATTCTAACTTCACCTTATTTTTTTGTGTGTACACAATATAACTTTATTTAAAAGTCACAAATATTTATGCATACCCAACACCAGCCAGACACACAAATTCAGTTATGTTTTCAGCTATGCTGTTTTGATACCATAACATTAAGTCTTTCGGCACGTATCTATGCAATTGCTTCAAACCTGATCTTTGAACCTCTTCACTAAATTTGCACTACTTTATAGCGTGAAATGGACGTGGAATGATTCTAAATTTAGATGTGAAGGCCTAGAAACCAATAAAAGACATTTTATCATCTTTTATAATACCTCACCAACTGAATCTTTATTATTAGATTGAACAGTTGTATTTAATTCAGGCCCAAAGTTGGAGCAGTAACTGATATTCAAAGAAAGCCTGCTGGACTAGTTAATTGCTACAAATTATTCCTTTGATTAAAAAAGATGTGCTAGGAAGTTTGATAGAACAGTGCTCCCATGGCGAAAAGACAATTCAATATCATGAAAACATTTTTTAAGAGCATAAAACTCTGGCTTACAGTACCAGTATCCTAAACATGAGATCCTCAATATTTCCTATTATTCTTACTGCCTTATACATATTAGCTGGTAACTGGAAAATATTTGAATTTGTGTGCATCATCCTGTATGTGCATCCTGGGTTTCAGCTTCACAGTTTTCATACCATTTCCCCCCACTTTTTTTTTTTAAACTTGTTTAGCTATCAAAGTTACAAGTGGGAGATCCTTATTAAAAAAAAAAACTAAACAAAAAACTCGATTCTTCCCATGACAGGCATACAGAGTAGGCACTAGAGTACACTCTCCTTTCCTTTTTCTAAGACTTACATCATTGTTAACGTATCAAGTTACTTATTTCCCTATCATTGTAATTAACATTTTGTGAAGTGACAGTACACAAGAAATCCATATTTCTCTGTTGTAGTCCCAACTGGAGAAGGATAACCTTTTTTAATACAAGTCTTTGTAACATGGCTGCCAAAAACATACTGAAGACAAAACCACCTGGGGAAAGAAAAATGAGTTTCTACCACATGTAAATGCTAGATCAAATAAAAAAAAAACTTTACTATTTCCCCAAGTCCACCAACCTTCACATATTGTCCAGCAAAGTCCGTCACTTCTGCTGTGAAGTAGCCTGAAGCATCAACAGGACAAACTGGAACTGAATCTTTCTGAATAATATTAAAATCCATGCAGACTCTGTAGTCATCCTAAAAGAGAAGTACAAAATATGTTATTCCTAAATGTAGCTTTCAATAGTCAAGACTTAGGAAAAGGGATTAAAAACTTAATATAAAGCTACTTCATAATTATACAAAAAACAGTCAAATAATCCCAAAAACACTTTTGAAAGCGTTTTTAAGCAATATACTTCATCCATCAAGATGAAAAGGATGATGTAGGGCACACTTGTTCCCTATCACTTAGGGTTGTGCCAGTTTCCTAGGGAAGGGAACAAATTTGCTCTATTTTGCAGCCTCTGCCCATCATTTCAAAATAAAGGGCTGGGGAAATACATTTCATGCTACTGTATGAATTAAGAGGGTACACTGAAGTTGTGGTATCTCCTTAAAGCACGTGCCTGTAATTCTGTTTCTCAGAAGACATGTCATTTTTAAGAGCTCTCCACTCCTAGGTCCATGCTCTCCACATTTAACTGATATGATTTTCCCCAATGCCTCAGTTCTCAAGCCTTTTAAACCTTTTAATCAATAAAACTAAGCATCAGACACATCAAATACTCTCATGCTTTAAATGTGGGGGAGGAGGGGAAAGAGGGGGACAGGACAGTTAGAGTACTCATCCCAAACAGCAGCCAAACCTGAAACTGTCACACCAAATTAAAAGCGAAGTGTTGCTTTCCTACTGGAGTTGGAAAGTACATTCTTGCCACGAAAGGCACATAAGCACAGAAAAAAAGTTAGCAACTAAAACTCTGACATCACCTTCAGGAGGAAACAGGAAGAAACCAGAGCATCATTTTATTTTCTTGAAAAGCAAGGCCTTTGTACATGCAAAGATCGGAACCGTGCTATAGGTGAGGTCCCCTTTTGACACTTGCAGGCTATTGCATTTTCTCTGACCAAACCAGGCATGGACTTTGGGTTTGAGAAACCACTATTGACAATGTTCGTTAGATATGGTTGCAGCTGAACTGGTGCTGAACACGGTCAGTCCTCCTTTACACTTGCTGCTAAGCCTTCCTCAGATCCAATCTTTGTCAGCAGCAATTCTATTTTGTAGCACAGACAAAGCTCTTGTTATAAAATCATACTACAGAACAGCTTCTATTTGTTTGGCTAGCACAGCTATTATATCCTTGTCCATATTGGTCAAGGAAGTCATGCTACAATCAAGTGTTATGGTACAGGATGAAATAGTGAAGCTCACTCACAGTGAGCACAAAAATCAACTGTTACAAGGACTAAAGCTTTACATATAAAAAACACCCTCAGGTTTCAGCGATCAATTGGCTCTAAAGACACTACTGACTTTCTCCTCCTCAGCCTACTACATGTACAGTATCTATCTGACCTCATCTGTGTGATTTAGCTCATTTGGTTATTAGACCAATTCCTTGGTTAGTCTTCCATCATCCATTATCATTACATGTAGCAGGCAGACTGTGGTGTTAGTGTAAACCAAATGAAAAAAACAAAGCAAGAACTGGAGTTACCCCAATAGGGCTAATATCATGAACTGTAAAAGGCTTTAGAGAAAGAGCCAATGCAGAGCACATCAAAGCCTAGCATACTGACATCTGTCCTATATATGACTATGACCCCTCAGCATTATAGGATCTGGGCCAAGAGGTGGCACTGTGGTATTTGCATCCTCAACGCAGCCCACGAAATATATAATGACCTAATTACTCCAATTTTCAACTGCTGGGTGCCTTGACTCTGAACAACTCAGACTTGAAGCTTTCCAGACTGATCTACCATTTATTTATTGAAAACTTACTTGGGTGAGCATGCCTGAATTCAGGCATAGATATCGGAGTTGCAATGATAGCAAGCTCCATAAGAAAACCAGTAAGGCAGTGATCATGTATGTCCATGACAGATATCTTTATGTCCACACTTGGGACACAGACGTACAGAAAGATTAAAAAAACAAAATGAAACAGAAGTTGGGGGGGGGAAATCTATATGAAAGTAAGTCTCTCCCAACAGTTGTTTCCCTCTTTGAAAAAAATTACAAAGAAAATAACTGGAAAAAAAAGTTATGGAAAACTTAGGACTAAAAGCTAAAATTCAACTAAAATAAAGGTTGTGATGCAACAACCATGATTCTATACCGTCTCAATAATGATTCTATACTATCTCAAGCCCATATCATTCAGTGGCTAGGCATTTAGCAGCATTATAGCATCTGCCATTTGAAGCATGGAATCAGGTATGGGGCTGGTATTAACACTTACGTGATAAACAGCTGGATGGGGGCAAACCCTGGTTATAAGATGCAAAAGATCTGCTATATAGCTAGCAAAAAAAAAAAAAAAAAAAAAAAAAACACAAAAAACACACCTCAAAACCACTGTATGTTACTGTAGATGAACTGTCCAGGATGCTGAATTTTAGTAGCACGTACTTTCAGATAAACAAAGATCAGAAATTTAATGCAAGGTTTATGCAGGCTGGTCTGGTTTTCTGATCTATGTTCTTTTTGAATTGTGTGATATTTAGTTTCATGAGCTGGATAACTGTGAGCTATTTGGGGACATACTAGCTCAAGTTGGGGGAAAGACAGTACCGCAAACTGGTCTTGGATTAAGAAGTGTTCTAGAACTAACTGCATCTTTTTTTTCTCCCTTTAAGTTTTGGTTAAGAATCCTTTTCACAGTAATACATGGAGGATGGATTTCTGAGATCTCATGGTGCAGAACACATCTATTTAATACCAAAGGTTCATACTGAAGCCACATTTTACATCATTATGTATCCTTCCCTCAAGGGACTTCTCTTTATTCAGAGACAGTACACTAGGTAACAGAACAAGCAATGAGTGGTTGTTTAAGATGTTTAAATATTTCATGGAAGGTGTGATTCTCCTCAGTTCCCCCCCACACCCCCACTTTTCTCTCTTTTCCCTCCTTGTTGCTACTTATATACCCCTTCTTCTCCCCCACCCCAACGCCATTCATTTCACTTCCTAATACAAAAAAAAGTAAATGAAGTGATAGAGAGGAAACTGAACTACAAAATGTGCTCAACAGAACTACGGTCACATGGCTTTTTAGGCTGTATCTCTCCTCTCTCCTCTACCGGGTTTTCTCTTTAATTACACTGAAAGCGTTTTCAGGACAAGGATCATGTTTCTCCTATGCATTTGAATAGCACTTAGGTCATTGGAGCCCTGATCCTAACAGCAGCCTTTGGGAGCTAGTGCTTTTTTGAACTAACTGGAAGGGATGAGGTGAGATGCAGAGATGCCAAAGAAGAAAAGGTTTCAACATTCAAATCAAATGTGTTATTTAAATATGTCCTTAAATAATTCCTTCTGAAGACAAAATATCCATTTATTCAGATATCAATTTGCTATATCATTAAGTTGTCTACTCTACAGGCAAGTAACAGAAAATTTGGTCTGTGGAGTTAGAGCCATACAACAACATATGCACTATTTGCTATGCATTAAACTGATAAAATCAAAGTTTTTAAGAGATACTAACAGACTGCTAATTATTTCATAGCAGACAGCTTTTTTTCTCTAAGTTAATTTATATTTTACTGCTTAGTCCTTGTGTACTAACAACTGTAACAGGTTCGGTGAAATTTTCAAACTTCCTTTATCACACTAACACTAACACTCCCTGTGTGGGTTCATCACTTTTCAGTTAACACTTGATCCTGAGTCTGCTTTTATTTGTAGATATGGTGAGGCAATTGTTAAATTAAGGCAATTGTGAACCTTCTGTGCCTCTCTAACCAGTTTATTCTACTTATGTAATTAAAAGTAAAAAGCAGGTTGTTTTCCTGTGTAATATTTGTATAAGAATTTTCATCTTGACAACATGAAATAAAGCATAGGAATATACACATTCTTCAAAAAGGAGACAACTAAATAGGACGTCACTGAGGCCAAAAAAAACAAGATTCAAAAAAGGATTGGACATTTAGATGGATAACAAGAACATCCTGAGTAGCAGTAGTTCATGCCAACATACAATTTGCAAGAGAGCATATATTTAATGCTTCAGGAATTAAACCAATTTCTAACTACCAGAGGTTAGGAAATGTCTCATATCTTCCTTGGATGCATCTGTTGCTTGCCACTGAGACAGGATAGCGGATTAAGCAGACCATGGGTCTGATCTAGTATGGTAATTCCTGGGTTTATAAAGGCCAACTGATTAACTCTTAAGAGAATCTGTCCAACTTTTCTAGTCTTCAATATCTCAAGCAAATTGGGGAAAGGAAAAGGAAATAAAACATCCTTCAAAAAATAAATAAATAAATAAATAAAGACCATTGTGCAAAGAATTATTTTAGCCCAAAGGGACATAGAGAAGTTACAGAAGCATGTTAAGTCATTTTATATGCTCAACACATATAAATTAACAAATGATAAAATCTTGAAAGGCATAGCATGCTGAACAACAGTCCTGATATTTGTCCAATTTATGAATTAGAACAGCTGGTCCCTACTTAGCAGTAGAGTACTCAGTTCTTATTTGTGATGAAGCTGGCATTTCTTGATCTTCAGGGAAGAGAAGGAGCTAGAGCACTCAGATGCTACAGGGATGGACATTTTATGAATAGTAAAGATGACAGTAATGGACATCTAAACTAACTCCCCACTGGTGTGCAAGTAAAGGGCAACTGCATCTACAAAGAGAAGTTTGAGCATTCACCAGAACACAATGTTTTAAAAGCAGCTGATTACCCTTCTTGGCCTGCAGAGAGTCAGCATTGTATATCTGTAAGAGCCCTTGGAGGCCATGGGAACATGCTCCAGACGAAACATATAATAAAAGTTAGTTTTTACTTACAGCACCGAAGTAAGGAGCCTGATGTACAACCCCTGTACCTTCTTCCTCCTTCACATAGTTGTCTGTGACCACAGTAAAAGCACCACTGTTTTTACACTGCAACACACAAAATATTGAAGTATTATATTCTTTTTCAGACATACAGGAAAGTAGCATTTTTCAAAATGATTGGAAAATGTACATTGAACAGGTCAACTGTTAAGTCAAAAAGCTGCAATAGCTAGAACTATATTTTAGTTTGCTTTATACATAGGACATTTTTAACCACTTATCTCAGCTAAAATGCCAAGCCAATCCATTCTTTTTACACAGCACCAAGAGTGTAAGACTAAATCTAAGACTTCTGTTGACAACTTCACAAAGTTGACTAATACATATCCTTGCACTGATGCAATCTCATGCTTGAGACTACAGATTAATAGGATCCTATAACAAGATACATAATAAAAGAAGTTTCCAGCCATTTATAGACCTATATATACACACACATATACATATAATAATTATTTATAAACAAAGCAGCTTCCACATCTCCATTGTTTCTTATTACCATAAAAATAGGGGGGTTGCTACTAATTATTTTAAGTCAACTTACAGGGTGATAAGCACGAAGGAAAGCATGAAGGTAAAAGTTTGGGATGACATTTAACATTAAGTTTTAACTTTAATGGTGGAAGAAAACTGTGAAGGATAACGGAACCAATTATCTGCCATCTGTTCAGCAAGCTGATAATTAAGAGTAATGAGCCATTTTCGTATCCCTCACATAATTTAAAAGTAACTTAAAATGAACTATCCTGGTGACCACAAATGAAGCAATGATTTGTCACAGTACTGTATTAAGTTTTGTCTTGGTCTGGAATACAATAAAAGCTTTGTAATCCGGCATGTTGGGGAAATGGGGGGTGCCAGTAAGTGAAAAATTCCGGTTAAATGAAGAAGGAAGGAGTTTGGGTGCGGGGCTGGGGCATGGGAGGGGGTGTGGGGTCTGGGAGGGGGTTCAGGGCAGGGGGTTGGGGTGTGGGAGGGGTTTTCGGGTGCCAGATCCAGGGGGCGCTCATCTCGGGCAGCTCCCCGCAAGCAGCGTCCTGTCCCTGCTGTTCCTAGGCGGAGACGAGGCTAAGCGTCTCTGCACGCTGCTCCCGCTCCGCGTGCTGGCTCCACAGCTCCCACTGGCCAGAACAGTGGCTAATGGGAGATGCGGGGGCGGCGCCTGCGGGCAGAGGCAGCGTGCAAAGCCACCTAGTCACGCCTCTGCCTAGGAACTGCAGGGAGCCACCCAAGTTGAGCGCCCCCCAGATGCAGCACCCCGAAACCCCTCCCATGCCATAAGAACATAAGAACGGCCGTACCGGGTCAGACCAAAGGTCCATCTAGCCCAGTATCCTGTCTGCCGACAGTGGCCAATGCCAGGTGCCCCAGAGGGAGTGGACCTAACAGGCAATGATCAAGTGATCTCTCTCCTGCCATCCATCTCCATCCTCTGATAAACAGAGGCTACCATTCCTTACCCATCCTGGCTAATAGCCATTAATGGACTTAACCACCATAAATTTATCCAGTTCTCTTTTAAACGCTGTTATAGTCCTAGCCTTCACAACCTCCTCAGGCAAGGAGTTCCACAAGTTGACTGTGCGATGTGTGAAGAAGAACTTCCTTGTATTTGTTTTAAACCTGCTGCCTATTAATTTCATTTGGTGACCCCTACTTCTTGTATTATGGGAATAAGTAAATAACTTTTCCTTATCCACTTTCTCCACATCACTCATGATTTTAATATACCTCTATCATATCCCCCCTAGTCTCCTCTTTTCCAAGCTGAAGAGTCCTAGCCTCTTTAATCTCTCCTCATATGGGATCCGTTCCAAACCCCTAATCATTTTAGTTGTCCTTTTCTGAACCTTTTCTAGTGCCAGTATATCTTTTTTGAGATGAGACCACCACATCTGTACGCAGTATTCGAGATGTGGGCGTACCATCGATTTATATAAGGGTAATAATATATTCTCCGTCTTATTCTCTATCCCCTTTTTAATGATTCCTAACATCCTGTTTGCTTTTTTGACCGCCTCTGCACACTGCGTGGACATCTTCAGAGAACTATCCACGATGACTCCAAGATCTTTTTCCTGACTTCTTGTAGCTAAATTAGCCCCCATCATATTGTATGTATAGTTTGGGTTATTTTTTCCAATGTGCATTACTTTACATTTATCCACATTAAATTTCATTTGCCATTTTGTTGCCCAATCACTTAGTTTTGTGAGATCTTTTTGAAGTTCGTCACAGTCTGCTTTGGTCTCAACTATCTTGAGCAGTTTAGTATCATCTGCAAACTTTGCCACCTCACTGTTTACTCCTTTCTCCAGATCATTTATGAATAAGTTGAATAGGATTGGTCCGAAGACTGACCCTTGGGGAACACCACTAGTTACCCCTCTCCATTCTGAGAATTTACGATTAATTCCTACCCTTTGTTCCCGGTCTTTTAACCAGTTCTCAATCCATGAAAGGACCTTCCCTTTTATCCCATGACAGCTTAATTTACGTAAGAGCCTTTGGTGAGGGACCTTGTCAAAGGCTTTCTGGAAATCTAAGTACACTATGTCCACTGGATCTCCCTTGTCCACATGTTTGTTGACCCCTTCAAAGAACTATAATAGATTAGTAAGACACGATTTCCCTTTACAGAAACCATGTTGACTATTGCTCAACAATTTATGTTTTTCTATGTGTCTGACAATTTTTGCCACAACCCCCTGATCCCTCTCCCACACTCTGACCCCCTTGTGGCTGTTCCTCCGCCTAGGAGCAGCAGGGACATGTTGCTGCTTCCAGGGAGCCACGCGGAGCCAGGTAGGGAGCCTGCCGGCCCTGCAGCAACCGGACTATAAACCAGACTTTCTATGAAGATTAGAAATGCCGGTTTATAGAGCTTTCCGGTTGGTACAGGGCTGGATAACACAGCTTTTACTGTATTGAGATGCAGAGAGGCTACCATACAAACCTTCCAACACGTTAGTGTAGATCCTATCTTTATACCCTGCAGTCTAGTTAATGGCTACAACTGTGATTCCCACCTTCTTCCAAAAATAGGTCTGCTCTCTATTGAGTTGATGAACTCCTTTTACCTCTGCTGACTTCAGGAACTGACTGCATACACCAACTATTCTTTTATGTAAAGTAATTATATATCAGCAGTTCAGTATTTTAACTATTTTTATAATTCAGTCAAGTTCTATCAAAATGTTTATACACCTATTCTATTCTCCATAACTCATTCCCATGATGTGTATTAAACTATGTTCTCAGTACAATAAAATATGTACTCCTGCTTTAAGTGCAGCATAACAAGACATCCATAAAGACTGGAAATGCGAACAGTTACAGGAATATAGGGTCTTAATACTCCAAATGTAAAAGCACAAACAACCTCCAATTTCAATGTCATCATAATTCCACTTCTGAATATGGAATTTATGGTTTTAGAAGGCAGAGAATGAGGATGCTGGCTTCAACTGAACGGAGCTAGGTCATAGATACTGGGGAATACTGACTGTTCAATAAAGAGTCCTCTGAAAACCTAGAGTGATCCCCAGGAGCGGCGCCAGGGTTTTTGCCGCCCTAGGCGGCAGCACTCCTCCTCTGAGCATTCGGCGGCGGGGGTCCTTCTGCTCCGCGTCTTGGGGGCACTTTGGTGGCGGGTCCCGGAGCGAATGAAGGACCCGCCTCCGAATTTCCACCGAAGACCCGGAGCGGAAGGATCCCCTGCCGCCGAATTTCCACCGAGGACGGCAAAATGCCGCCCCCCAAATCCTGCCGCCCTAGGTGACCGCCTAGTGGAAGCGCCGGCCCTGGTCATCCCTACTCTCAACCTTCATCACCACCAGGGTGTGTACTAATATGAAGTATGAGCATAAAGGACATAAGAAAGAAAGGTAAAAACAGAAGCAGCCAACTTTCTGGCAAAGCGACAATGCTCTCTGTTGCAAAGCATGAGATGAGAGTATAGCCATGTTAATGTAATGTGGAACAATGAGTTTGTTTGGGGAAATGGAGGCCGGAGATTTAACTTGCTTGGTATTTTACCTATTTTCCCCTCGACATCTTGACAGTTGGGATTTTATTTTAACATATAGCCAGTATTATCAGTAAATCCAGTCAAAGTATGGGTCTTAAACTAAATGAAAGCAAATTCTAAAAAAAGCACAATATTCGTTTTGTCATCATATCAAGGGGAAATATTGATCAAAAAATGTACAACTATTTAAAATTGCAGTCTCTTGGTTTTAACATTGTCATTTGGTTCTGTCTCTAAACACAAGACTGACTTATCTTACCTTAATAAAATATTCAAATAGTGGTTTATATTTCTTGCCTTTAAGAGTAATGCCAGGAAACCTATGTAGAAAAAGATTTATATGTACACACATTAACACACTGTAAATTGCACTAGTTGTCTTATAAAGACTAAATCTAGAAGTACTATTTTTCTCTTTTTAAATATTTTTCATACTGAAATCTGATATGAGCAAAAGCACTTGTTTTCCAAATAGTTTGCTTCCTACTTCTACCTTTGTTTGTCAACTTTAACACTAAATGAAAGCTGAGATATTTGTTAATGATTTGCCACTAGTATAAATTCATTATCCCCACAATAAAGTACACATTTATAAATTAATGCAGTAGCAAAGCATAAATCAGTAATCCACTTCATAAGAAGTTATGATAGGACCTTCAGGAAATAAAAAATAAACTGGTTATAGTGGCACTCTGTAGTATAAGCAGAGTGTCTTCTGGTATTTACAAGAATGAATAAAACTAAGTAAACATTGGCCCAAAATTACTAACTCCAAGCTAGAGAAATGTAGAAATGTCTAGAACTGTAGAAATGTAGAAAAGTCTAGAACTCCAAGTTGAGAAATGTAGTCTCCTGACAACTCCAGAAGAGGATGAGAACTTAGAGCTCTAAAAAAGGACTGAAACAATTAATGTCCCAAGTTTCAAAGAGATTAGTTCCGAGACAGAAAAAAACAAAATTTTAACATGCTGGAAAACAGCACAGAAAACATGAAGGTGTGAACTATACAGGTGAAGAACAGTAACACAGGGAGGAAAATCTGGGAAACTAAGAAATCTTCCACTATTAAAAAAAAAATCGGTAAATACTAAAGAGCCAATATACGAGAGACAGATGCATAACTTGCTTAAGGTTTTTCTAGGGAACTGCATTCATTCTCAAAAAGATGTTAATGTTATAAAAAATGCAATTATTTTGTAAAAAGGGGTAAAAACTGGTTTTATCTAGGTGCAGGAAGTTTCCAGTTCTTGGAAGATACCCAAGAGTGGATAGGGTATCGCTGCAAAAGGAAAGGTAAGGATGGGCGGGAAGGGGAGGGAGTATAAATGTTTCTGTCATACTGTATGCCTTTTATAAAAATTATGTTTTCTATTGAAGAGTGCTAAAAAAGGTAAATCTCTTTACAGCAGCATTTGAATTATGAGGTTTTATTTGCTATTCTAAACTGTATTGGGATGAATAAAACAAATAAAAAGTCCTTAAAAATGTGTGGTGACACTAGCTTTACAAGCGGAAGAGGTAGACTACCATATGGGAAGGATACTAGGATACTAAAGACAATTTTTTTCCTACTCTGGCTTCCAAAGATATTGTGTTTACAACCTTTTCCTTAGCTACAATAAAACCAGATGCAGATTCTACTCTGACAAAAACTTCCATCCAAGCCTAATTTGCAGCGACAGATCTCAAACCCCTTGACAGGCTGTAGCAGGATGTACATAAAAAGGCACTCATGTGTTAAACCACTCTAAGAAAGCAGTCTTGGATTCTGCAGTTATCTAACTTCTTGCAGCAGTTCATTACTTATTTATAAAAAATGGAAGTTCAAAAGTGTGCAATAATTCATGTACTTGCCTGTCAAGTATCACATATTCACTTTCAGATTTGTACAGTGCTACCAGCCTGGCTTCCATCAAAATATAAATCTTCCCTGTGGCACTATCTAAAAGGGGGGGGGGGAAAACAAAAACAAACAAACAAACCATAAATGAACACTCTACTTTTGCACCATTACAGAAGTTCCCATTTTACATAAGAGCAATAAGACAGCAGGTCTAAAACTACCCAGAATAATTCTGTGCATTGCAAAGAGCTAAAATTTAGAAAACACCCTCTTGACATCAGCATTATCACAAACTCCCCGGATTGCAGAGCTGATGCTTTCAGGACCTGACCCGCTGAATTGACTTTTAGCAGCCTTTGCATTGAAATGCCATGGTTGTCTTAACAGATAGTTTTTCCACTGTTCTTTCTGGCAAGGGAAGGCAACCAGATAGTTTTACCTGGCTGGGCTGCTCCTGAGGGCAAAACACTTAGCTAAACTATAATAAATTAAACAGGAGCTGCAAGAATTAGTGGGTCAATGCTTTACATAACAATCACACACTATCCCATTTTGCTGCATTTCTGAGATTTATTAGAACAACAACATGAAATTACTCTTAGCTCCTTTTTATTGGATTTAAAAAAAATGAAGGTAAATGGGAAGCTTTAGATCAGGGATCTCAAACTCAAATCACCACGAGGGGTACATGAGGACTAGTACATTGGCCCGAGGGCCGCATCACTGAAACCTTTTCATACAACGATAAAAAAGTATAGTCAAAAATGAAAAAAAAAATGAAGAATAATATAGTATGCTATTAAAAGTCAATGTATTAACTTTTTTAAAACTGTAATGCGAAAAGTCAGTGCTAATTTTGACAGTCATTTCATTTTTGGCCACTTAGCTGGCAGCGTTTTGCATCAAGCCAAGCATCAATATTAGGTTTGATATCCTGAGACTAAACCAATCTCAGTGTTGCTTTCAAATGTTCATCAATGAGCCTTGACCTTAACACAGATTTGTTAATCTTCATGGAAGAAAAAAAAAAACACTGTTCATGTTCATATCTATCTATCTACTTCCAAACATTGCCATTACCCTTGCGGAAGCAGAGAATAACATGGGAAATCTTTCTTGTGAAAGAAACCGGTAGAATTCTGGAATTCCAACATCTGTATACTTCTGCTTCAAAATGGTATCACACTGAAGCTCCACTAACTCCATCTGCAACATTGTCAATTTCCACAGCAAATGGTGTGGAAAGAAGTTGAAAATATGGTTCAAGTGCCTTGAAATCTTTAAACCACACATCAAACTGTTTGTGTAAGTTAGAAATGATATCTGCATATTCTTTCAAGGATTTGAGTTCAACTTTTCCTAAGGAATTCAGAGTCGAGAAATGAACCAAATTGCCAGTAGTCAACTGTTTCTCCCACAAAGTAAGCTTGACTTTGAATGACTTAACACTGTCAATATATCTGTGTTATCACCTGTTTTCTACCCTGAAGCTTCAAGTTCAGTGCATTCAGGTGATCAGTTACATCTGTTAGAAAAGCATGGTTGCAGATAAAAGTGGAATCAGCAAACTGTGGCGCCTCCTTGTTTTTCATTTTCATGAAGGAATCAATCTCCTCCCTAAGTGCAAAAAACACTTCAAAACATTTCCATGACTCAGCCATCTAAGGGTATGTCTACACTACGAGAGTAGTTCGATTTTAGTTAAATCGAATATGTGCAATCGATATTAGAAAGTCGAACGTGTGTGTCTACACTAAGGACAGTAATTCGACTTTGTCAGTCCACACTACCAGGGAAAGCGTCGACATTGGAAGCAGTGCACTGTGGGCAGCTATCCCACAGTTCCCGCAGTCCCCGCTGCCCAGTGGAATTCTGGGTCGAGCCCCCAATGGCTTCTGGGTAAAAAATTGTGGCGAGGGTGCTTTTGGGTAACTGTCGTCATCCGTCAGTCACTACCGCCCTGCCTCCCTCCCTGAAAGCGCCGGCGGGAAATCAGTTCGCGCACTTTTTGATCAGTGACAGCGCGGACGCCACAGCACTGCGATCATGGATCCCGCTGCGACCATCGCTGCAGTTGTGGCCGTTCTCAACGCCTCGCACCTTATCATACACCTTTCCCAGAGGCAGATGCAGAGAAATCAGGCGAGGAGGCTACGGCAGCGGAGTGAGGGCCTGAAGTCGGAGAGTAGCACAGAGCTGTCAGAAACCACGACACCCAGCGCCGAGGACATCACGTTTGCAATGGGGCATGTGGATTTTGTTGAACGGCGATTCTGGGCCCGGGAAACAAGCACGGACTGGTGGGACCGCATAGTGCTTCAGGTCTGGGATGAATCCCAGTGGCTGCGAAACTTTCGCATGCGGAAGGGGACTTTCCTGGAACTTTGTGAGTTGCTGTCCCCTGCCCTGAAGCGCAAGGACACCCGCATGCGAGCAGCCCTGACTGTCCAGAAGCGAGTGGCCATAGCCCTCTGGAAGCTTGCAACGCCGGACAGCTACCGGTCAGTCGCGAACCACTTTGGCGTGGGCAAATCTACCGTGGGGGTTGTTGTCATGCAAGTAGCCAAGGCAATCGTCAAGGTACTGCTGTCAAAGGTAGTGACCCTGGGAAACGCGCAGGCCATCATAGATGGCTTCGCTGCGATGGGATTCCCAAACTGCGGTGGGGCTATAGATGGGACTCACATCCCTATCCTGGGACCGGGCCACCAGGCCAGCCAGTACATCAATAGAAAGGGGTACTTTTCAATGGTGCTGCAAGCACTGGTGGACCATCGGGGACGGTTTACAAACATCTACGTCGGATGGCCGGGCAAGGTTCATGACGCTCGCGTGTTCAGGAACTCTGGTCTGTTTAGACGGCTGCAGGAAGGTATTTACTTCCCGGACCACAAGATAACTGTTGGGGATGTGGAGATGCCTACAGTGATCCTCGGGGACCCAGCCTACCCGCTAATGCCCTGGCTCATGAAGCCCTATACTGGCGCCCTGGACACAGAAAAAGAACTGTTCAACTACCGGCTGAGCAAGTGCAGAATGGTAGTGGAGTGTGCTTTTGGCCGTCTCAAGGGGAGATGGAGAAGCTTACTCACTCGCTGTGATCTCAGCGAAACCAATATCCCCATCGTTATTGCAGCTTGCTGTGTGCTCCACAATCTGTGTGAGAGCAAGGGGGAGACCTTTATGGCGGGGTGGGAGGTTGAGGCAAATAGCCTGGCTGCTGATTACGCCCAGCCAGACAGCCGGGCGATTAGAAGAGCCCAGCGGGACGCGCTGTGCATCCGGGAGGCTTTGAAAGCCAGTTTCAAGGCTGAGCAGGGTACCCATTGACTTTTAAGTTTGTGGACACAGAAGCTGAACTTGCCCCCGTTTCTTTACCCAGTTGCCGTCGACTATCCTCTCCAATTACATACCCCCTTCACCCCCTTCCCAAAAAATAAAATCTGTTCTGTTTTGTTCATGGACACCGTTGTCTTTATTACTGTTTTCACGGGAATGTTTTAAACCTGGGACGCAGACTGTGGCGGGGAGCGGGTTTAGGGTTGTGATGCAAATGATGCTTCTAAACTCCAGGAATGACAGGCTCCGCGATGGTGGACTGGTTGTTTCAACGGAGCCTGCCAGCCCTCCTGGCCGGGACTGCGTGTATGTGTCGGCTATGTGACTGTCTTGCAGGGGGAGGAGGGTTACAGATCCCCTGCTGCGCGGCTCTGTGATCCAGGGTAAGGACCGCTGCATAAGATCTGTAACTGCCCTCCCCCGCCACCAAGTCACAGAGCAACACCACCGCCCCCACCACACAGAACATGAAAACCACCTCCCAGACTGACCAGGATAACTAGTCACTGCACTGTATATGTGCCCTGCTGCTGCACCTGCCCCCTGCTAAAGGTGACTGTCCTGTCCAATGACCAAGGCCCTTCCCCCCCCTCCAGACAGACTCCCCTCCAAAAGAAGAGGATGGAAACAGAAATGAACAGAAACGTATTCTTTATTAACAACCGCACATGGAACGGGGGGGTGAAACTTGGACGGGGTCTTGTGTGAGGCGGGTAGGAAAGGACTTTTCAAATTTTGGGGAATGAGAGCCTTCTAGTGGTAGAGCAGTCCGCAGGGGTGGAGTGAAATTTTTCCCGGCCCCTTCCACCCCTCCGTGTTTGGACTTTGGGTGAGGGGGGTATGGGACTTGGTGGCGGGGCAGGGCAGTTACAGAGAGACTGCAGCGGGGCTCTCTCCTCCTGCCTCCGGTCCTGCAGAACATCCACAAGGCGGCGGAGCGTGTCCGTTTGCTCCCTCATTAGTCCAAGCAGCGTTTGAGTAGCCTGCCTGTCCTCCTGTCGCCACCTCTCCTCCCGTTCAATGTTTGCCCGGTGCATTTGGGACAAGTTCTCCCTCCACTGTGTCTGCTGGGCTGCCTGTGCTCGGGAGCATTCCATTAGTTCAGCAAACATGTCTTCCCGTGTCCTCTTCTTCCTCCTCCTAATGTGCGCTAGCCTCTGGGCAGATGTGGCTGTGGGAATTGGAAAAAGGGAGTGAATTCCTGAGACAGAGCAATGTATCTGTGAACAGAGAACATAGTCTTTCTCTGTGAACAAGACCATGCAGAGCACCTATCACACGCGCACTGAGGACAAGGTCGAATTTTCGGCCCTCGCCTACAGTGCCTGCGGTCTTGCTGTGGCGAGCTGAGGAGCAGGGCAGGACACCGGACTTTGTCTAGATGGCAAACATGGTAAACCGTAGACTTGTGGCTGCTTAAAACTTTAAGAGTGGCACTGGCCTCCTTTCACATAGAAAGCAATGCGAGTCTCTGCTGGCAGCAATCCTGCAAGCATGAACTCTGGCCCTGTCCCAGCCCCTCGCGGCTGTAAACCGCGTGGCTGTAAACCGGCGGTTGCAGTTCTGTAAAGGGACGGGCAAGCAGTCCCAATACTAACTTTCCCCTACCTAATTCACAGCAGGGAGTCATGCCTGACATCACCCTCCTGAAGGTCTCCGAGAGCCAGAAGGAGAAGATGCTCCGGGACAGCCTGCAGAAACCGGGGCCATTTGCTGCACTGCTGTGCAAGGCCATGATCCCGGAGTACCTGCTGGCGTTG